ACACACAGACAGATGGACAGATGGACACACAGACAGATGGACAGATGGACACACAGACAGATGGACAGATGAACACACAGACAGATGGACAGATGGGCACACAGACAGATGAACACACAGACAGATGGACAGATGGGCACACAGACAGATGGACAGATGGGCACACAGACAGATGGACACACAGACAGATGGACAGATGGACACACAGACAGATGGACAGGGTGAAAACAGTGTGGCCAAACCTCAACTCTCAATAACTGAAAACCAGTCATAACATTTTTTTTGTTCTTGCCAACAAGACAAAGAAAATGAACAAATGTCTCAACTTGAGATGTGTTAGCAGCACCAATGTAGCAAATCATTTTACTTTTCACTATATTGCTAAAATGTGATAATTAATCATGTATGTCGTCATGTCATTTATTGCAGTGTTTCAGTGTTTTTGCATGTTTCTGTGAGCTTAGGATACTTGTAGGCTACTATGTCACTGGCAACTTTTTTTATTTATTTTTTGTCCTCAGTCTAACTAGCAGAAACACCCACTTCTTAACAAGAAATGTGTGTGTGTGTGTGGGGGGGGGGGGGTGCTGTGTAAAACTTTGAAGATGAGATCATCCATCCATTCATCCATCCATTATCTTTACCTGCTTCTTCCGTTTCGGGTCACTGGTGCCCATGTCCAGCCATCACTGTGCAAGAGGTGGGGGCACCCTGGACAGGTCCAAGTCCATCACAGGGCCACATAAAGACAAACAGCCATTCACCCTCACTCACACCTAGGGACCATTTAGAGTTACCAATCAGTCTAACATGCATGTTTTTGGTCTGTGGGAGGAAAGCAGAGTACCCTGAGAAAACCCACGCATGCACGGAGAGAACATGCGAACTCCACCCAGAAAAGCCCCGGGTCGGGATTTGAACAAGCAAGCTGCTCGCTAAGAGGCAGCAGCTCTACCAGCTGTGCCACCGTGCTGCCTGGACAAGATGATTCAAGCACATATTGCACATAATATAATTTGAATACAAGTCATATGCTGGACAGTTTAGAAAGTATAAACCATAGATGTTTCGTGCATATTTTTTGCCCCATTTATTAAAAAGTAGTAAAAATGAACATTTTATATTGGTTTTCTATTTTGTCATGATTTGACACTACAATTGTAGCCTTTTTTTGTGACTTGTTTCAGTACATTTAGCACAACCATAGATGCAACATTTTACAGATAAAATGCTTCAACTAACTGTGTTTGTGAGTGTGTGTGTGTGTGTGTGTGTGTGTGTGGGGGGGGGGGTCTTTCTTATAGTATGAGTTATTTGCCACCGGGGAAGAACATTTGAGTTACGCTGACATGCAGGTAAAGCCTCTGTAAACCAGGACTCTGAGGAACTGCCATTCTGCTGTGGCCTTTGATTGGCAGGAGAGCAAATGGCACCAGCATCTGGAGGCACTCTGATCAGACTGCAAAAAAGTGCACACACAAACTGGCACAGAAATGTGTGCACATAACCACACACACATGCACACACTCCTTCAAAGTGCAACTTGGCCTCACTTTCCTGTAAGCCTTTTTTTAAATCTTCTGTCTAAGCAGGAATAAGTAGCTTCTCTTTGAAGCAGCTTGAAGAGTAAATGTGTTCTCATTATCATGTACAAACTATTAAACTTAATGTTTTAAGTAATTTGCATTTGCTCATCATTTAGTTTTGTGGGGATGCACTTGCATAATCTCTCCAGTTCTCTCCCCTACAGACAATTCCCTCTTAAATTAGCCAAAAGCCTGAAAATGAGTAACTGATTTCTGTATATTAGCCTATTGCTCCCAGTATACTGCTATCTACCGTTCATCATTGTTGATGGATTACTGGTCTTCGTGGCTAATTGTTAACTTGCATGTTAAGGTTCGATCCTTCTTGTTTCACTGTGTTTAAAACTTTAATGAGACTGTTTAAATGAAAGCCACGTTACGATGGTTCTGAAAGACAAAGATTACATTACTCCCTCCCCTATTGCAACTACTTGGACTTTATGAAGTTAATCCTGCCAATTATCCATTCCCCAGTCGGGCTTTTATCTCTGACAGTCTTTGTCTCCTCAGCTGTCTCCCCAGTAAAATAATTTTGTTTTGTTGGACACAACATTCTTGTACCAAACTGTACTTTGATTATAGTCAGACTATGGAAACATTGTCAGCAACCTGCACTTTAGATTAGTTTATTTATTTTGTAAAAATGGACATTTTGTAAGAAATGGTACATTATATTTCCTTGTTGAGTCATTATTAAGCTGTTCTGTTGCATACATGTTGGGTTAGTTTCATTGTGTATCATATCGTATATGTGTAGGGATGCACGATATTATCGGCATGATATCGGTATCGGCCGATATTGGCGTTAAAGTTCAATATCGGACATCAGCCATTCCATTAAAATAACTCGCCGATATAAAAGATTCTGGTTTTGCCTGAAGCAGCAGCACAACGCAATGACGTCACATGCGCCTACTCGATCTCACGGCGGAGAGGAAAATTCAACATGTCGGCGGTGTGGAAGTTTTATTTTTTGTTGGTGAGGATGTCGGATTCCGAAGATTTATGGACTACGTTAAGCCTCGTTGCATCGTCCCCAGTTGGAGATATTTTTCCGACGTAACGTTACCCGAGTTACAAGCAATCATTTCCGATGTCATTGAGAAGCTAATAGCCGATAGCACGACTTGATGGGTGAGTTTTACCACAAACATTTGGACGTTGTGTTAGCCCCGTTAGCATGATTAGTCTTTTGGCCCAATGGATAGACAAAAACTTTGAACTTAAAAAGGTTGTCCTTCATGCACAGGAGTGCAGAGGATCCCACACTGCAGCTAGGAACCCAGAACATGCGTCCACAAGTGAGACAGCATCGCAGGTGACTAATGCTAATAAATAACATTTAACATTTTTCATTTAATAAAAGTTAAAGTGCTATGCATATCATATGACAGTTACTGAATATATGTCACCATCTCACAGCTGTTGCACAATTTTTGTAGCAAATAAGCCTAAATAAGAGGGCTCTGTTCTAACAAAGGAACGTATATAAAATATCGGCATCGGTTATCGGCCAAATAAGTTTTAACATATCGGCATATCGGATATTGGCCAAAAGTCCAATATTGGGCATCCCTAATATATGTGTTTGTAGTTTCACTGTTCTTTCTGAACATTTTCAGCTTTGAGATGATGTATATTTCTTGATGACTTTTTAAATGGCAAAGAAGGGTATCATTCAAACGACTGAACAAAATATAATTAGTTTTTATCTGTGTGAGAATATTTAAAAACGACTGCTCCAGTCCATATATGTTCCTCAGATTGGTACTTAAGAGAAATTTCAAAAGTGCTTTAAGCTTAGTGTAACAATATCAATCCTGCTCATATGCTCATACCCTTTTCAAACCAATTGTCTGTTGTGTGTCGTGCCTGCATGCTGAATCTTGATCGGCTGCAGAGAGGGAGACAGATTAAAATGCAGAGTGCCTCTCCTCTGTGATTATACACCAGAGCAGAAGGCCCTTCCATTTAGCACCGTAATCCAACTCATTATCTTTCCTTCTCCTCTAACTGTATACATGAAAAATGTTGTTTCTGAGCCACTGGAGTCTCCGAAGATGCCTTCAGGTACCTGCTATGAGTGTGAGTTCATGAGCAATTGTGCATGCTGGGCATCCCCCGTTCTGTCTGCAAACATTGATAAAACTCTTGGAGAGAGAAATGAGCTATTTTGCATCATTGCCTGAAGTAAACAAAACCGTTATGCAATTCCAATCTTTAATTTTCATTAGCAGAGAAAATAAAATATAATTTTATTAATGACTGTGAATTCCATTTTTGCAAGTAAATTTGAAACATTAATGATGAATAGAAATGATTTAGTATTTTGAAATGTCCTCCTCTGTTTGGTTTGTGTATATTCATAAATAATTTGTAGTTTGAAATTTGTAAAGGTGCAAAAAAAAAAAAAAACTTTGAATGACTAATTTTATATAAAATGTTTTCAAGTGTAGCAGGTCCTTGGTTCAAACCCCGGTCCAGGGGCCTTTCTGGGTGGAGTTTGCATATTCTCTCCGTGCATGCGTGGGTTTTCTCCGGGTGCTCTGGTTTCCTCCCACAGTCCAAAAACATGCATGTTAGGCTGATTGGTAACTCTAAATTGTCCCTAGGTGTGAGTGAGAGAGTGAATGGTTGTTTGTCTCGTTTGTCTCTATGTGGCCCTGTGATGGACTTGCGACCCGTCCAGGGTGTACCCCGCCCCTCGCACAGTGATTGCTGGACATGGGCACCAGTGACCCCCGTGACCCAAAATGGAGTAAGCGGGTAAAGAAAATGGGTGGGGTAGGTTTTCAAGTGTGGAAAATAAAATCAAATTAAAATGTTTTCTTAACACACTTGACTTCATAACCACTCAAAGCTCTTAGAGCCTAAATTCCTTGACAAGTATTTCATAACTTAAAAAAAAAGAACTTTTCATGACAGCGTTGGATTTAAATTAGCTTTTTGCATTTCTGACACTCAGGGTTTTTAATCTAAAAGTTTGTTCAAAGTGGGCCAACTGTCATGTGGTACATTTTTATACAAATTACTATATAAAAAAAGAAAAATAATGATACTGAACATTTTAATTAGGTGGTCATCAAGCAGCTTTTATTTACAACAGATGTAATAATAATTTGTATATAAAAATGAACTTTGATGTTGTCTTAATACCATCTATTTATTTATTGAGCTGTTGGTCAGGGCCCTGAAAGATCTTTTTGTCTATATTTTTAGAAACATTAGATGGATAAATTAACGGGGGAGTGGTGGCACAGAGGCCAAAGAAGGTGAGCCAATGATCGGAGGGTCACCGGCTCAACTCCCCAGACCAGAGGTCTGCAACCTTCCTCTTCAAAAGAGCCATTTCTTTCCCTTCACTCACTAAATAAAATGTGTCTGGAGCCACAAAACCTGCTACAACTGTGATTATCAACTGATGGCCCATGGGCCACTGAGTTTGTTGGAGATGGGCTTTTCTGGCCGCTGGGGGCACATTACAAAACTAAAATTTTATTGTGAATTTTGAACGTTAGTACATTTTAACATTCATTGATATTTTTACATTTTAAGACAAAAAAACACACAAAATAAAGAAAGACATAGTTATATTGATTTTGATAAAAATTAAAACACTGAACTCTGTAGGTCTATGTGAGGAATAATAAATAAGTATCAGGTGAGGCTACAGTAGCTCAGCAGCCAGTGCCATGGTCTTAAAATCCTGAGGTTGTGGGTTCAAGCCCAGGTTGCATCAGGAAGTGCATCCAGTGTAAAACAAATTGCCAAATCTTTCATGCAAGTGGTGATCCCTGAAGAAGGGAGCAGCCGAAAGAACCTTACTACATACTTCAACAATTCCCTGCAGGATCAGTTAAGTTCTTATCTTATCTTAATAGTAGTTATTGGGCAAAGATTTACAAAATGTTCACAATAAAACTGCCAGAATTAGCCTTTTCTGTTGTGGGTATAAAAATCAATACAATTATATTTCATTAAGTTTTGGTGAAAACTTCAAAGAGCCACTGGTGAGGGACTAAAGAACCGCATGTGGCCCCTGACCCGCAGGTTGCAGACCCCTGCCCCAGAACAACAACATTAAAACGTGGGTGGGAAAAGTGAAACACCCACTCATTTGCCCCACTCTGGGCCCTTGAGCAAGGCCCTTAACCCCCACCATCTGCTCCCCCGGGCACCCTAGTTGTCAGCTCTCTGCTCCACACAGAGGGCTGTGGTAGCTCAGTGGTCTGTGGTTGCGTCAAGAAGGGCATCCACCGTAAAAGCAAATGCCAAGTCTTTGTATGAGTTAGTTCACTGTGGCGACCCCTGAAGAAGGGAGCAGCCGAAAGAAGAAAATGAATAAATGAACCATTGATATTTCTCAAATGCCACATACATTACTTAAATAATCTGAAAATCACTTTTATTGTGAAAATAATAATATCTTAAGTTATTCAACTATATCAAAATCAAACCAAAAGCACATCTTCATGTACTGCATATGGTTCAAAGTTTAAAATCAGAAGTTTTTCTTCTTTCTCAGCAGTTGTGCTTTTGCGGCAAGATTTGTTTTCCATTTCAGACAATGAGATTTTAATGGGCGCCACTTGTATTATGTAATTAATTGCTGATGTCTCAAGGACATTAAAGGTGAGATGCCTCTTGTCCATCAGCCATGCCTATTGCACAGCAGTGTGATTTGTGTGCTGCTATAATGCTCACGGTCATTTCCTCAGTGAATTATTGGAGCCGGGGACACCACTCCACCCAGCAATTAATGACACTATTGATTCAACGCACCCCACAATCTACCCTTTGGCAGGAAGAAAAAAAATCTCTCTGAAGGGTTGTTCCTCCCTGAGGGTCTGGTGTTAGTCACAGCTTTCTTTAGCTTAATGGTCTTAGTTAATTTTGTTTCTCTGGGATCAAATCCACTAGAGCTTCAGGTATGTTAGCCTTAACACATTCCAAATGAGCGATAAAACACTTGTCTGGTTTATTAGTAAAAGCTAACACTGTGGGAAAGTGGATTCTTATACTTATGTGAAACATGTCTGCTTTTCAACATTCATTCTGCTCAGACTGAGGTCAGTTTAAGTTTGCTGGGGTCTGAATATTCATGATCAGTTCACAGCACTGTTTAAGTACAGATTTTTTTTAACAGTGAAATTTGGCTTATGTAGAAGGACTCATGTGGTTTGAGTTGAAAGATTATAACAGTGCTATGGATTATTTCTTATCCCCGGAGATTTTAGAGACCAGTCTGACATTTCTCATAATATTTCCCCATCTGTTACTTTCAGAAATGGCAGCAGGTGAAAAAAAATGATTGCTTCCCTCAACCTGTTCTCAGTCTCTCTGTTCCTTCTGTTGTCTTACCTCCCCTGTCCTACTACACTACATATTGCATTTCCATTTCAGTCAGATATACAGATGCACTTGCATCCCCATATTCACATTCACATGACAGATGGCACACAAACCGTTCCATCAGCATTATCAGGCCAGCGAGAGTATTATTGGTTAGAATCCAGAACTATAGGACATAAAATCCACCAGTACCAGGCAGATGAAAATGCTATTCATAGAACAATATAGCCTCTGATTGTGACAGAAGGTCGTACAAGAGGAAAGTTGGTTTTGAATGGCTTGTAGTTTATCTAGAAACTGGTGTCTTTTCAATATTTAAGCATGGTACATTAAAAAAAAGTACTTTGAATGAACTTGAAATAGGTTTTCCTCCCGTCTGTGACTTCTATGGTTTTTGAGCCGTGCAAACTGTGAGAAGATACGAATGTTTGGATCTCATACAGCTAGGGAATTTTTAGGAAATTAAATGAAGTGCTCCTCTAAAATCACACATTTTTCTACTCTGATGTTGGTCTGGATATCAACATTTTACTGTATTATCTCCAACAGTGCAAGATTATGATGGCTTTCCTTCACACATACATTAGACATAATTGTATTTTCTGTATAATGCACTTCAAGGTTCTACATGTGTCAGTCTTATTTTATACAAGTAATGACCAGTTAATTACACAGTGCACTGTACTGAAACCAGAAAAGTGTTTATA